CTTTACAAGGCAACCACTTGTACCTGGCAATCCAAGGAGCACCAAAATACAACAACAGCCTGATGGAGACTCGGCATTAATGACGTAAAAACGGATCTCAGGGATCGTCTGGATTCAAAGTGCTGGAACGCTGAAAGCAGATGTCGGAGAAACCGAAGCAACACCGACGTGTTCTTTGAGAGGAAATGAGAGTTACAGGCAACAACTGACACAAACATGTCTCGTTATGAACCAACACTGTCACAAACCCCACACTCCTCCCGTCTTTGATGCTGATCTAAAAAGGAAAGATTAATTAAAAAATATTTTAAACCCATGAAACTTAACATTAACCCTCCCACTGTCTTTATGGGTGACCCTGCCAGGAAAGTTGACCATGGAGCAGGGTTGATGGTTTATCCCTTGAGGTGCACGTGGCAGGGGTGAGGTGGTGCTCTCTCTCCTCACCCCTGCCACGTGGACCTAACCCTAACCCTGCTCAATGGTCAATTTTCCTCGTGGGGTCACCCATAAAGGCAGTGTGAGGGTTATGGAATGTCCTGATGAGGGTGAACTGGGTCAGATCCTGTATTCTAATCTTTAGTCATTAGAATCAATGCGTATGCGTGTGTGAAAGATCACAGAGCAGGGAGACAGTTTGACACAGATCACAGGGTTTGTCTCATTATTCCTGCAAACACACATTGCAGTATGAACAGTCTATCTGTAAACCGTTTAGCTGAGGCTAGCTAAAAACCCACAAACAGATTTTAAACCTGAAGCTCACTACATTTTTCTTTTAGCTGGTCTCGAGCACCAAAGAATTTTTAATTATTTTTTTTTTGCTGCAGCCCAGTGAAGAGTTGGTGCTTTATTACAACATAGGTGATGCAAATATAGAAAGTAGGTCAACAATAGAGATCAGGAGATGAATGTAGCCCAGTCAAATGAATACAGATGTTTGTGATCTGGTCAGGATATCTCTGGTAACGTAAGATCAGAACATGAGAGTTTAACATGTGCATGAGTAACACTAACTGATATACATTTGAGTGGTTGGTCCTTGCAGCCTACTTCTTTTCTGTCCTGGCTTATTCTAAACAGCTACTCATAAAAATCCCCAGCAAGCACAGGATCATCATTTGAGCCAGACTTTTACAACGCCTGTCCCTAACCGTGAAACTATGGCGACCCATATGGTGCACAATGTGAGCATTTACTCAAGTGCAGCTTAAGGTGGAAAGGCACTTGAAGAGGAAATAAACTCCAAGTGGATGAATATCCCCCCCTGCTCACTCTCTTGGGACAATGCCACCCTGAAAGACTGGTGTTAACCTTCAGTGCACTCACGACTGACTATTAATGGCCGCTCAAGTGCCAATGAACATTACAGCCCATCTGTTATATAATACAGGGTATATACAGCAATCCTTAAGTAAAATTTACTACTTTTTAATACTTTTTTTTACTACCTTCAGAATTTTTTTAAAACCATCACAACACTAAATTGCAAGTGTTAATCAGCGACCTATTTACAAATATTTTAACATATATAACATTCAAAAAGAATAGACTTAGAGACTCACTGATGTTGACAACGTATTGCACATATTTATTTTACTTAGAAAATAAGCCAGGCACTTCTGTTCAGCGGTTCAGACAGTTGACCACGAGGCCTGAAATGATGCACAACGACCACTGAATATGACGTCATCATTATGTGACCGGATATGCTAAAGTAGGGCTGCTCGATTATGGCAAAAACAATAATCACGATTATTGTGACTGAAATTGAGATCTCGATTATGTAAGACGATTTTTCAATTTATGTAGATTTTTATTTTTTTATTTTTATTCAGTCATAAAACTGCTCAGGGCACAATCAGGGCAAAAATAAACAAGAAACAAGATGATCACTAAAATAACTCCTGATTCCCAGTATAAAAAGACCAATATACTTATAGCTCATAGTTTATGACCCAAGGGCTATAGACCTTGGTTTAACTCATTTCAGTCTAACCAGTACAGACCCAAATACCAACATCTTGCAAATACTGACAGCAAGAATTATACAGTGGCATTTATAACAAATACATGCAAATTGCTGTTCACTAAATGTTGCATAGCATTTATTGAGTCATGTCAAGGTGCTGTAGGAGTGCACTAGCACCGTGTCCTCAGAGAGATTAGTTATTTATCAGCGTGAGGAACTTATTTCTACCTTATTTATAAACTATTTATTTACAAGTCCATCAGTTAATGTAATAATTGTCCCAACCACAGCTGCACCCCCACCCCCAACCCGGTCTCACAGCAATCAGGGGCACGCTGCACGTGTGTTTAGCGCGCCGCACGCGCACATTTAGCTGTTTTTATCGGCTCAGGAGTCCGCAGGTGCGGTGTGTGTGTCACTCACTCTGGTTACTCCAACAGAGAGTCGGCTCCGAGAGCTGTTTCTTTAGCGACTGACACATCACTACATCATTCCCTTTCCTAATGTCCTGAAGAACGGTACGGAGTGCAGGCGGAGTGTTTAGCTAACCTACAGGAAATGTCGACGACAGTTATCCAGAAAGTAGCTAAGGGTTACCAGAGATGTTTCTGAGATGTTCGCTAGGTACTTTTAAGTTAAAAAGTCAAGAAGGGGGTCTGAGAAGCTGCTAGAAATAGTGTCAAAGTCGCTAAGTTAACTTGGCAACACTGGGAGGAGCGCTTCATTTGCAACTCAAGGCAGCGCAAGTGGGGGGAGCAAATAATCGGCTTGTTTTGTTTTTATAATCGTTCAAAACATTTCATTCGGAATATATTTCTATGTCGATGTTCAGAATACGACATCTGATAGTCTGAAAAAAATAATACCTAATTTGGAAAAAATAATACCTCTGAGACCAAATTTAACACTTTTAATGGCCTTAAATTTGACTATTTTTATTTATCACTTTTTAATACTTTTTAAAACCCCGCGGACACCCTGTAATACTTTAGAACTTGAGTACAGATTACAGTGACCATGTTCCAATCCCCAGCATTGGATAAAGAACAGAGAGAAAAAACAGGGAAGATGGTAACAAAAGGGACTTTTCCAAGGGGCCAATAGTCTGGGTGTGTGTGTGTGTGTGTGTGTGTGTGTGTGTGTGGGTGGGTGGGTGGGGGGGGGGGTGAAAGAGTGAGAATGTTTGCATGCTGCACTATCAAAGGCTGAAAGGGATGAAGAATGAGGCACTGATCCAGAGGGCAGTGAAAGGTTATATCTTAAAACATTTTTTGGCTGTTGCTCCTGCAGGACGATATTTTTTGTTGTCGCGGGTGTCGCGGCACTCATGAATCACTGAGCCGGCATGCATCTCGCAAACAAATGACCCCACGTTCACACCACCACTGTAGATCACCGGAGCTCCTATTCACCACCGACTGGAATGGTAAATCCAGCCATCTGACACAGCAAACAATGGTTTATCTATACCAGTTCATCAATAGGGACTGAAGTCATTTCAGAGCTTACTCTGTTGCTTCAGAAGGCTTTTTACATCTGTAATAACGGCTTTGAAAGCATCCATTTAAAGAAATGTCAGCAGCTGATGAGTCATGGCACAGATAATACTTTTGACAGCTAACTTTTATCTGTACAACCCCGATGCTCCGTTCAGGCCTCTGCAGCCAGAGAAATAACCGATATGATGCATCGGTGATGCGTTTAGAAAAACAAAATTAGTCCGATCAACATTTTAGTGAGTAGAACATGTGGAAGATCCCGATGACGGCTCAGAAACCAGAGGCGGACTTGATGGGTGGAATTATCAACAAGAAAAGCTGTAGAGCTTTACTTTAACACACACTTGTAAGCACTTTGGCAACACGGCTGCTTGTTAAGCTTTCTCCAGATCAAAATATCTGTCTGGAGCCGGCAAGGAGGGGCAAATGCGTGTGGAGACACAGCTGTTGCATACTAAACAGGAAGCATTAGATCCAACAAAACCTAAATCTGTGTGCAGTCTATAAGCCTATTAGCCCAATAGCTCGGAGGTTTTAATCACTGTCGCTGGTCTGTGGGCTCCATTATCCCAAGACTGAATTATGGTCACTGGCTACTCGCTGGAGGTCAGAAGTCACAAGACCTGCTACGGCGCAGCAGCCGGGAGGTAGGAAGTGAGATTTTATCAACAAGTGTGTTCCTCCTGCTAACCCGTCACACTCCACACACATTTTATTCTTTGTGCTTTCCATTCTAAATAGAAATAATTAAAAAGAGTGACTAATATTGGAGCAGTAATTACAGCAGAAAACTAGTATCTTTCATTTGTCTTTATCTTCCAAGTACAGAGCAGCTCTGAATCTGTGTGTGTGTGTGTGTGTGTGTGTGGGTGGGTGGGTGGGGGGATGGGGAATTAGCATAACGACAGGAAAGTAAATGAGAAAAGCTTGATGGTTGGACAAAATGGCCACCGTCTGAGGAGTTTAAAGGTTAGTTATGCGTGAAAGTGGACTGACAAGTGAGGAGCGGTATCATGTCTTTGGTGTGTGTGAGATCACATTACAAAGCCACTTTTATTTCCATCTAATTCTAGTTAACATTTAGAAAAATATCAGGAAAACGGAGCCAGACGGACTGTCTGTGTTCGGCACCGTGTTTTTACGGAGCACATTCAAATAGTTGAAAATGACCTCAGCAGCACGACCATCTCAGAGAAACAGAGACAGACGACAAAACTTGAAACGGGGAAACAAAAAGGGTCATTGCTGGCATCCTCTGTCAGACGCTGCTGTAAACAGCCTCGGCCTGCCAGCAGCTAACATGAGCACACATGATTAACTACACTGTTGTTACCAAGTTGCAGCAACTCCTGCCGAAATGCCAATCATGTCATTTTAAACCATGTGTGAAAACAGAAGCACCAAATAAAACAAGCCTGAGTTATATACCATGCATTCAGCATCCTATAAAATCAGATCAGGTTTCATCATTTGACTAAAGGACAGAATAAATTTGCACCCTAGGCCAAGCTTCTAATCCGTCCACCTACTATCTTTTGCAGATGCTTCTCCTTGCGCACGTCCACCATGACCAAGCCCTCTTTGACCAGGCCGAGCCCCACGTCGTCCTTGGTGTCTCCAAACTGTATTGTGACGTGTGGGCAGGTGGCGCCGGCGTACTCCACATTTAACAGGCACTGGCTGTTCTGGATGTCCCGCACCACACAGTCCACCACATCTGCACGGGCATCCTCCTGATGATAAGGACGAAGGACAATTAACGGAATGAAGAAGTAAGGAAAGGTGTCGGTGACAGAAACATTGTAATGAGTCAAAAAGAGCAGAGTCAAGGCGCTTTTTCTGTTCTTCAGCCATCATGTTCCCTCGTTTCTCAGAAAACTGCCTCTCCCTTCGCTAACCTTCGCCGCTCTGAAAAGGCCAGTGTTTGATTGAACATATGGTGAAGACAGTGGAACAGCTGCAGTACAATCCTGACCTCGTGTCCTTCAGCCGTCAGGGTGAAAACGAGACAAACAAGGGAGTCGCACCTCCAAAGACAGGAGGACAGTTCAAAACAAAAACACACAAAAAGAAAAACAAAATCTTTCTGCCCATTATCTGTCCCTCCCATACATCATCTCTCTGCTTCTCCCTTCTTTCTCACCCTGGTCTTGTCTCCATGGCAACCGCCTTACAGCTAGCCACCCTTGGGCATGTGTGTGTCTGGTGTGTGTGGGTCAGGAAGCTTGTTCGAGGCATAAACTGAGGGGCTTTTTTTTTTACCCCCCCCCCCCCCCATCTGGACAAGTTGTCGCAGGCGCTGCAGGGAAGCTCTGGGCGGGCGGGAGATAAAGGAAAACAGGAGAAAGAAAAGAATGCAGCTCGTGTAGGGACAATACACAAGAGTCTCACACACTGACGCAGGAGAAACGTCTAATCCTTATCGCTACTCGCTCCATTTAGACACCAAACTTGTCAGAATTGAAGTGTTTTCCTCCACAAAAAGCTCCTGTTTAGAAGGAACTTCTTACATGGAATGCTTCTAAATCGTTAGACACGACCTTCATAAAGCGTGTTACCAAAAAGTCTTCTGAAAACGACAGGGAGGACGTGTTGTGTCAGAGGCTGTTTGCTGACCTTTACGCTGCAGTATCAGGTTTTTAAACAAAAGCCATCTCACATGGCCTGTGGGTTTCACCGTGATGTTAATGAGAAGTTAGAAGAAGCAAACCACAGACCTAGCTTAAGCATTGGGATGATAACAGGGTATCTGCAGGTTTAAAGGAGCCACATTTCAGACTTTTTAAGACCTTTTTTAAGGCCACTTTGACCAAATCTAAGCTATAAAATTTTATAGAAATAAAAGAATCTTGTTTATTGGGTCTTTGGTAATTTAAGACCTTTGTAAACTTTATTTAAGGATTATTTGTCATTTTTAAGGATTTTTAAGGCCTTAAATTTGGAAAAGCAAATTTAAGACTTTTTAAGGACCCGCGGATACCCTGGATAACATGTGACCTGGGTGGTTTGTGATCATTGATGAAAGCCGTATTAAAACTAAATGTATCTGCTTTGATACAAGTCAGAGTCCCTCTGTTAAAAGTTTTATTTCCTTCTTTAAAACATAATAACTGTAGGCGTTTTCCATGATTGTGACATGTTTTGAAGATACTGTCACTTTACAGAATATCTGATGAGGAACCACGGGGAAGCAGCAGTGGGATTCATCCCACTGACAGACTTTTAGTGCCAAGAAAAGAACTTTTCTGAGAGCAACTATGAAGCCAATTATGACTTGTGAAGACAGATGTCTTGTGCAGGTTAGGTGGCAGGTTAGGAGGGAAAGGCAGCCACCTCTCCAGCACAGGTTCAGCACAAGTGGGGCACCATGCTGTCAGCGCGGCAGACAGCACAACACCAGACGACCAAACGGAGGAGCAGATGCAGAGTGATGAAGGTGGGATGAGCAGGAGAAGGGTGAGGTGCGTGTCAGCAGGAAACGTGGGCTTCAGCTTCCTGTGAGTTTGTATGGAAGCTGGAACATGAAGGTGACGCTTGTGCCCCCCGGGTGGCTCCAACAGATGACACTTTTATTACCGACTCCGGAGACAGGTGACAGAACCAACCTCAGCATCCTAACCCACACGCCTTTTGGGGTGGAAAGATCTGAAGTATTGAACATTTGCAAACTAGTTCCCATATTTATGATTTTAAAATCATTACTTTTCTAAAAACACAAAAAGAACATCACACTGGTTACAGGTGTGCACATTTATCTAAGGAATGGCTACATTTCCTGAGACTGCTCCAGGAATAGAAGTCAGGCTTCTAGATTTACCAAGATTTAGGAAATAAAAAAATCACATTTTAAATGTTTATGTTTATGTATTTAGCAGACGCTTTTGTCCAAAGCGACTTACAAGTGATACCAATAAAATGTAAAAATAAAAAAAAAAAAACACCTAAAAGGTTTTGGGTTTGAGTTTTGTTGGTTTAGGGTGAGCTAATCTGACCTAAATAAATACATCTTTCAAATACAAATGCATCAAAGCCTGGAGGATTTTTTTCCTGCTTGCTACTATTAGTTTGCTCCCAGCCCGTCTAGTGTTTTGCAGCATCTTAGTGTTTGTGGTTATTTTCACGTTGGACACAATTCACGAGGATGATTTTCCTCAAACTTGCCTGAATAAAAACTCTGCCGTGCCCATCAGCTCCAGATTTATCGCCCTGTGTGGTTTGTGAAACTCAAACACTTTTCATGTCTTGCCAGAAAAAGTCAACTTTCAAAAGCTGGCAGAAAATGAGACTGAAGAAGCCGATATGTGAAAGTTAATTTTGCAGCTTGTGGCTGCAACATGAATGCGTGCGCTGCGGGTTCTCGTCTGTGCACTTACGTCCTGCGGGACCTGGATGAAGGCGAAGGTGTACTCTGTGGCCTGAGCTGGCAGGGTTCTGGTGCTGAAGGCGGGAGGCATCACAGCCAGACGGGAAGTTGACACAACTTCTCTCTGAGGAAGGGCAAGGGGAGGACAAAATTAAATCTAATCTAATAAACAGCTTTTGGACTTCACGTGCTTTTCTTTTCACTATTAGTCCATAACTTCCAACATTGTCTTAATAATGCTTTCTTAATCGGACGTTTGCGTATAAAATTGACCTTTAATAAAACTGAATATATATCGATAAAACTCATGCTAAGACAAATAAAGGATGACCTCTAACAAAACCAGACATGTTCTCCAGATGTCGCTTCATCCTTGTGCTGCATTTCACTTCCTGGATTCTGAATCGCTTCTGTAATGTTTATGTCACTTTACTGGTGACAGCATAAACTGTGAAAGGAGGACAGGTGTCATTCCTCTTGATGAATTGCTGCATATTCTTGTACGTCACCTCGTAATGACTCTACAGCTGTTGCTGCACCTGCACCGAGGCTCTTTCTCACCAAGCTCCTCAAGCTAAAGGTGAGAAACACCGTAGATGTCTCCTTCTGATCTATAAATGAACACCACAGGGTGCTGCACAGTCAAACTAATGAAGCCGTTAAGAGTCAGGAAGTGATTTGACGACCCGTCATATCTTGGGTTAATGCGTTCATCCGACCTAGACGGAGAGCATCTTGAACCGAGGATTTATCTACATGATATTAAGAGTTTGATGGCTCTTGGAATGTGGGCTTTAAAAAATGAAATGACAAAAGTGCTCAGCTGTGTTTGCTAATGATCCCATAATAACTCAGGCCGCCGACCTGTACCTGACAGAGGTGGCAATACTGTCAACTAATAGCTCGTGACACAGACCCACAAAAATCAAGGTTGGTCTGAGTCAACCTGAAATGACGCAGAACTGCTACAGACGAAGGCACCGCGGATATCAGCTTGTCTTTTCTGTGTGCACCAGGTCAGCCTCAGAGAATAACACTTTCAGCAACATGCCAGGATGCATCGCATCTGCCAGCCAAACCGCGATCTGTCCCCTGCTCTGAGGTCAGTCGCACACTGTGCCGCTCCACTGCATCATGGGAAAACTCCCACAGGGCGGAGGGGGGTGGGGGGGCTGGCCGCACGAGCCACTTGGTGATGATGCAAGCAAGTGCACGCACGTGGGCAGACTACGCAGGATGAAGCGCCTTCGTCATCAGAGTTAAACAAAAAAATAATAATTAAACAACACATCCAAGGAGGGGGAGGATGTTTCCTCGAATGAAAGGAGTCAGAATGATGCACTTGGCTGCACCCTTGGTTTTGCTTCGGTAACAAACAACAAAAGAGAACACAAGCAAGCCTGCTTTGTCTCAGTTAAAACAAATCATCAGCTCAAAGACACGGAAAGGTGTCTTGAACATGAATAGAAAACAATTTGTGAATGAAACAATAGAATCTCTTTAGTAGTGGGCTTGACTTTCAGAAGAAGTGCTGGTGGAAGCGTTCTGAGTACCAGACAACAGAAACAACACTTAATCTCCTCAAACATGCAAACAAATGATCACTAAATCAAATCCAAGGCCAATACGTTACTCACGTTGCCGTAGTCAATGTAGAAGACGTGCACCTTTGCCTGTGACTCAACTTTCTCCACCCTGGCTCTGTACCTGCAGCAGCACAGGAATAATTGGGGGTAAGACAGGAAGAAAGAGACGAGGGAGAGGGAGGGAAAGCAGAGTAGAGCAGAGGGAAACAGAGATGAAGACAGAGGGCACAAGTGGAAAAGGAGATGAGTAAATGATTCTGTGCTTATTTCCCTGGGGAGAAGGTGTTGGAGGATCTGTCTGTTGTGATCGGGGCAGAGGAGCGGGATAGGATGAGCAGGCCGGGGGTGTGAGGAGGGGGACAGAAGGGATCTTATCAGGACATGGGTGGCCTGCGAAAATTGCATGGAGGCCTCTTTGCAATAAAAGACAAATTCAAACCTTTTTCCCCTCTTCTTGTATCAAACAGCATTAGTGCTAATCATGAAAACCTGCATGTTTTCTATTGTAATCTTTGATTTTCCAGCACAATGTAATAATGAACAAAAACAGAACGGGCTGAGAGAGATTAAAGGAACAACAAACGGAGGCCCCCAACTAAAGAAGCTGCTTTCCCCGCCGCCCGACTCAGAGCATCGTTTCATCTGACCATCACTTGTCTGACTCCAGAGCGTAAATGAGAGCAACGAAGACAAATTGGCTGAAAAAGAAGGAGTACAGGAAAAAAAAAAAAATCAGGTTTACATGTGCAAAGTGAGAATGAAGTAACGAGCAAGCAGATGTAAAGAGGCGAGAACGAGGAAAGACCGGCAAATCGTGACTGATGAACAGCGGTTTCATTCTTCTATTCACTGTTTGGCGTTCTGAGACCATGAAAGGAAGCACATTTTTAATTACTTTATTAAAACAAGTCGTCACTCTAAACACATCACAGAACACTTATATAAATAAGGAACAATGGGAATGCGAACATAATTAGTCGGGTGAAACGTATGGGCACAGTCAAAAAGACTGAAATCTAAGTGTCTCGTTAGTAGCACCAAACGCGTTTCACCCCAGATGGCCTGACTCTCACTGTGCAGCAGATTTACTGGTGTTTGGCCTTACAATCAGAACAGAATGAAAGGACAGCACCTGTGTTAGGTGAACATTTGGTTTTTAATCAGTTTCATGATCCTTTTTTTCCCACTTGCCACCTCTTTGATACACTCTCTCCCTCCCTCCCTCCGTCTGACTTCTATCTGTCCCCATGACCATCTGCAGGCTTCAAAGATCCAGCAGTCAAAATGAAGAGAAGACTGTTTCTGTAAACCAACTGCTTAGTCTAAAAGGGCCGAGGAGGTGGCAAACTGATAGAGCCCAACTCTCTCCTGATCACTACATGAACAACGAAGAGCTTTTCTGATCGGCACAGACACAATTCGGGTTGTTTCAAGTTCTTAAAGTTTAGTTCATCTACCACATGTTTAAGAATCTATGAGCTTGCTTTGACATTAGGATTAAAATGCATACGCACCATTCACCGTCAGCAAATTTAGCTAGGCAGTAGTCCCCTCGGCGTGCAGAGTACGACCCCTCTACAGGCGGGTGGGTGGCGATTTCTGCTCTCATCGCTTCCATCAGACTCTCCAACTGGGCTCCTGAACAAACAAATCAATGGATCGTTGAGTCAAAGTCCTCATTCTAGAGTCATTTTTGCAATTAATGAAGCAGCTTATTTGATAATGATGCAAGACCATGGTCTTGAGTCGCAAAAAGGGTAGAATGCCTTCTCCAGGTCAGGGACGAGGTCCTGCCCCAAGTGGAGGTGTTTAAGTATTTTGGGGTCTTGTTCAAGAGTGAGGGAAAGATGGAGAACAAGATCAATAGGAGGATTGGTGCTGCGTTTGCAGTGATGCAGTCGTTGTGCCCATTTGACTTGGTGAAGAGAGAGCTGAGCCGGAAGGCAAAGCTCTCGATTTACCTTTCCACCTACCTTCCTACCCTCACCTATGGCCAGGAGCTTTGGGTAGTGACCGAAAGAATGAGATCCCAGATACAAGCGGCTGAAGTTAGTTTTCTCCGCAGGGTGACTGAGCTTTCAGAGATGGTTTGAGAAGCTTGGGCATCTGGGAGGGGCTCAGAGCAGACCTGCTGCTCCTCCACACTGAGAGGAGCCAGTTGAGGTGGCTCGGGCATCTAGTAAGGATGCCTCCTGGACGCCTCCTGGTGAGGTTTTCTGGGCACGTCCAACAGGGAGTAGACCTAAAGGGAGATCCAGGACATGCTGGAGGGACTATGTCTCTCAGCTGGCCAGGAAACACCTTAGGATCACCCCAGAGGAGCTGGTCCAAGTGGCTGGGGAAAGGGAAGTGTGGGCCTCTCTGCTTAGGCTGTTGCCTCCTCAACCCGACCCCGGATAAGCAAAGGAAAATGGATTTTACAATGAGCAGTTTCTTTTAGATATTTTTGGGGTGTTTTTAGTTCTTTTGTAACCAATCAGAATAAATTAGCTCTGTAAATAAACTAGTTCTATTGTTTAATTTTTAGAACAGGAGTTTCCAATTCAATTTTAATGGGTTGGTAATATTAAAAGCTCTGTCCTTTTGTTTGAATAAATTAAGTATGAAAGATGCAAATGTCTCAACATTATTTACTAATTATTTCGAATGAAAATACACGACAGCACCAAAAGCGTTGTTGAAAATCCCAACGTACACCTTTAAATATTCCTCTTTAAATGGGTGACATAAATATTAATTAGGCAAACCGTGCAGCTCTGACAGAAGCCAGAGCTATGTCTCCTATTTTTCTTTTTTTCCAGCTTCATCGTTATTCGGGATCAGGGGAAGTGGAGGGTTCTCAGGTCTGAATGAAGAAGCATCAATAAGGTGACTGCTGTGTGCTGCTTGGGTCATTTTCACCACAGAGGAAAAGGTCTCACATTTCTCTTCTTTTGATCATTTCAGCTCAGAATGTCTGAGTTGAAAACCTGCTGCAGACTTTGGCCCTTTCCTTGTAGGAGAAGTTCAAACTTTTTTTTCTCGGCTTCTATGTTGAAAAACTGCAGCGTGAACTCGGGTCCACTTTTGTTCCGTCTGCAGAGTCCTCTGGCTTCAGAGAGCCACTGGGTTTGTGATGGCACTGCCTGCCCCAATGCATTCTGGGACTTGGAGTTTTAGTGGTTTTATGATAAGAGTTATATACACTGCTCACAAGAATTAAAGGAACACTTTTAATGGGCCTGGCATGAAATCAGTTAAACCTGTCTGATAATTTCCTGGTTGATTAAGCAGCTGAGGGCATTGCTAATCACTTTAAGCTGTATTGGTGTTCGTGGACTTAACGGCAGGTGCACTAAAGTGGCAACAATTACAAAACCCTCAAAACAGGACTGGTTTAACGTGTAGAGGTAATTTCAAGTTTCTCCCTCTTGATCTTTTTCGGCTGGTTTTCCACTCGTGCTAGTTTTGGCTCTCGACTGGCAGTATGAGGCGATTCCTTAACCCTACAGAATTTGCACAGGTTGTCCAACTTCTCCAGGATGGCACATCCACACGTGCTGCAGCAAGAAGGTTTAATGCGTCTCCCAGCACAATCTCCAGAACATGAAGATTTCAGGAGACTGGTGGTTATTCTCGGAGAGCTGGACAGGGCCGTAGAGGTCCACAATCCATCAGCAGGACCGATACCTGCTCCTTTGTGCAAGGCGGCACAGGCTGAGCACTGCTCGTGCCCTACAGAATGACCTCCAGAGGGCCACTGGTGTGAATGTCTCTACCCAAACAATCAGGAACAGACTTCATGAAGATGGCCTGAGGGCCCGGCGTCCTGTAGTGGACCCTGTGCTCACTGCCCAGCACCATCGAGCTCGACTGGCACTTGCTCAAGAACACCAGAATTGGCAAATCCGCCACTGGCGCCCTGTACTTTTTACAGACGAGAGCAGGTTCACCCTGAGCACCTGTGATAGACGCGAAAGTTTGGAGAAGACAAGGAGAACGTTATGCTGCCTGCAACGTCGTTCAACATGACAGGTTTGGTGGTGGGTCAGTGATGGTCTGGGGAGGCATATCCATGGAGGGACGCACAGACCTCTACTGCCTAGGAAATGGTGCTCTGACTGTCATAAGGTATGGAGATCAAATCCTTGAACCCTTTGTCAGACCCTACGCTGATGCAGCAGGTCCTGGTTTTCTCCTAATGCACGACAATGCCCGGCCTCATGTGGCAAGATTATGCAGGCAGCACCTGCAGGATGAAGGAATTGAAACAATTGAATGGCCGTCACGATCCCCTGACTTAAACCCAATAGAACATCTGTGGGACATTATGTTTGGGCCCATTAGGCGGCGCCAGGTTGCTCCTCAGACTGTACAAGAGCTCAGGGATGCCCTCACACAGATCTGGGAGGAAATGCCACAAGACACCATCCGTTGTCTCATTAGGAGCATGCCCCGATGTTGTCAAGCATGCACACAAGCTCGTGGAGGCCACACAAGATACTGAAAAGCAATTTGAGTTGCAGATATTAAGTTTTTGAAATAATGGACTAACCTGCCACATTTTCATTTCACTCCGATTTTAGGGTGTCTACACAATTGAGCCCTCTGTAGGCTGATAACTTTTATTTCCATTTAAAGACTTGGCATCCTTTTGTTCCTAAGACATTGCCCTGTCGTTATTTGTATAGATATCCAACTTCATATTGAGATCTGATGTATCTAATTGTTTCTTTAAAGTGTCTCTTTAATTTTTGTGAGCAGTGTATAATCTCAGAGCCACATTAAATCTATACTCTGGTGTGGCCCACGGGGCTTGCGTTTGACATGAGATTAAAAGTACTTCCCAGTAAAAGTTCAGGAATGGATTTATAAATCTAACATAAGTTAAATATATTTTGATGCACAACTAGGCTTTTAATGCTAATTGAGCCTTTTTGATATTACACATTTGAAGGTTTGTTATTTAAAACCTCTCACGTCAACATTTATGTTTCAATACATTTCTCCCATTGTGATCATGTGTATTGCTGTATTGTGTATGTTTAATTTATTTCATTTTATAGTTATTAAATATATAAAAAAACATTTTAGTAAACTTAAAACTCTAAAAGGCCAAAATTAACAGCATGCAGCTAACTAAATCAAGTCAAATTCCATCTTAACCCTTTCAGTCGGCATCACCAAAATGACACTAAAATAGTGTGTGGCTTTTGAAGCCGTTAAGCCCATTAGCACTATGCAGCTTATTCTGGTTTGACCCTGGTGGTGAAATGGAGCTCCGAGTTAAGCCAGCTCTCCCAGTGGGCCGTTATGGCCTCTCAAGTCATTATATCATCTGTCCTATTATGGTGGATCCAAGGCAAGCATTTGACTGTCAATAAAGTGGTGTGTGTGTGTGTGTGTGTGTGTGTGTGTGTGTGTGTGTGTGTGTGTGTGTGTGTGTGTGTGTGTGTGTGTGTGCCAGATGTGGAAGTGATGCCTGTCTGATTTCTACCATCAGCTGATTGAGAGCTCAACTAAGTGCGTGGATCTTTGAGAGCATCACTTATTATGGTGTGTTTGTGTGTTTCAGGAAAATGTTGACGCATGTGTGGAAGCGTTTTCAAACGGTGAGCAGCTTCGAGTGTGTTTTGGCTGTAATTACTGCAGCTAGTTTAGTGAAGTGGCCAATATGAATTTCCATAGTGATATTTTTAGAACCCATTTCCACAAATCAGACACCTGAAAAAGGGGGGTTGTGGGTAATAGAGCCAGATTAAGGTCATACTTATTCATACCAAAAAAACTAACGGGTGGAAATCATAAAGCTTCTGTTCATGTCACTGATTTAGTTCAAGCATGTAGGAATAAAACAGAAGAAACTAATTCCCCGTTGTGCACGTTTGCTCTGGTTTTACACAGAAAAGCCTATTACTGCAACATGCCTTCTCACATTTACGTTTTCTCGCAAATAAACCCAGCCAGCGTGTGTCCTTTGTGAAGTTCTGCTGATGATGCACGTTGCTACCAAACAAACAGCTTGCAGGCAGACACTGTACACACCTCTCTGTTTCCATACAACTGCTGCTAGTTGTCATTCACACCTAAAATTATTTATGCTGGTAGAGAACAAGAAAATATGAATAATGATGTTGTTTTCCCACGGTTATCTATGCCGAGGCAGGCAGACAGCTGCCAACCACTAGCACAGGAAACATTCATTTGCATGTCAAACTTGGAGGAAAAAACAGGGCGGAATGCAAATAGATTTAGAGCGCCAAGAAAGCTCTGGTCTATTCTGAGCTGTCGGGGCAGAGATGTCCAAACACCTCATTGGACACCCACTGCTACGGTGATTGCCGGTGACTGCACATTCACACCTTAAGTCTTTTAAACATCCACAACTTTCAGTTGAATGTATCAGATTCAGCTATGTGGTGTTTGTCTGTAGAACAGACCTAATGCATGATTTGCTTTTGATAGAAAAAAAAAACAGGTAATTGTAGGTACAATCCAAATTTTGTTGTAAAAATAATCAGTCCCATTTTATTCTTGGTAAACTTCCCCAAAAACACACACCAGAGCAAAAAAATAAAATAAATTGCATCAGCACAGCCAAAGTTATTCAAAAATATTTTGACTGCCTGCGCAAAAAAAAAAAAAAAAAAAAAAAAAAA